TTTTTTTTTTTTTTTTTTTTTTTTTTTTTTTTTTTTTTTTTTTGTGGTTAGTACCCTTATTATTTTTAAATAATTACCTTGAAATGTTAAACATATGTTTTAGTTATTAATGTTAAGTATTTTTTTTAATCTATCATTATAATTTAATAATTTATGTTTTGTTTTTACGATTATACCTTACTCTTGGTAAATGATAAAAGTAGCATATGATAAACATTTATTATATGATATTGAGTTCACGAACTTATATTTAGAGTATAAATGTTAGCTAATGTGTTATAAAGTTACGTTAGAAAAACATATATTTAGGCATATGGCTCGATAGTAGGTAGAGATGAAAGAAACAAGCAATGATATTAACGCGTGAGAGAGAGCTAACAAAGTACACCCTTTATTCGACACTTTAGTTATTTTTTGCTACACCTTTGATATGCTAATCTAAGGGACGACACTCTAAAATAGTATGATATTGTCCACTTTGAATGTAAACTCTTATAGTTATGTTTTGGGCTTACACAAAAAGCCTCGTACCAATGTATTTTTTTGCTTGTAAATCCATGATTATTCCCTAAATTAGGGAATATGAAACTTTTTTCTACTAATATTCTTTAAAAAATTAAAATAAAACAAGAAAAATATCGCCCACCGTGGGGCTCGAACCCACGACCACAAGGTTAAGAGCCTTGCGCTCTACCAACTGAGCTAGACGGGCTTGTTGTTAATATTCAACAAATATTTATATGTGATAAATATCTATCATTAAATTATAAGTAGGTTTCATCTCTCGTTTTATGATTTACATTGATCACGAACCAAATATCATGACTAGCAAATGTCGTGTACTACTTATGTCCAATTTCATTTTCCTTTTTATTTTTTTCAACAATTCATTGTTTAAATGTCTCCGAGCTTAATGATATCAAACCTATATTTATCTACAAAACAAACTTAAAATTTTTCTACAGTTCCAAGCCAGTACTCATACGGTCGAAGGACCTAAAAATCATTTAAAATTGGTCAACTCAAATGCATATAGATAACTAGTTACTACAAGTTAAAATCACAAGGCGGCCCTACAATTTCATGCACACAAATACCTAATTACCACAAAATTATATCATGCACACAAAGTAATATCACCAAGCAGTTCAATGTCCGTTTAGACTATTAGTTTTAAACACACTTCGGTTGCGACAACTCATAAAAGGAAGGAAGTGGTATTGATCGCTCTCTTTGGAATTTAAAATTTTTCTACACAATTTTGATTAAGAAGTAAATAATCTATTTTAATAAATTTTTTTTTTCCATAAATTTGATTGACCATATATATTTCCCTTTTCTTTATGAAGATTTTTTAAACTTATCTGATCGTGTTCTTGAATTGTAGATCTACTAATTTCGAGAAGTCAGCCGACCAAATAAGATACCATTTAGATTTTTACGAAATACTCGTTGAATCAACTAGAGATACATACGAATAATTAGCACGGTTTAAAGATGAATTGAGCATGAAATAGATAGTTAAGCCTAGAATTCATGATTTAATGACGGTTTAGCTCGATTGTACATTTTAGGACTTTCGCAATGCAAAAGGTGACTTTGATTGATTCATGTTATGGTTGATTGTACCTTACTCGATATGTGTGTATAATGTGCATATATGCATGATTTATGATTTAATATCGTTTATATCACTAGAAGCATGTTAGGAGGTGTGAATACCTATGTATGTGTTGATTGATGTATGGATTAGATGCTATGTTCCTCGATGATACGTATGACCTATTAGCCAGCCTTAGCATATGTTTTACTTTTCCTTCGTCCGTAATGATTGTTTTAAGTTGACTGCTTCCACAATGGGATGATTAGGGTGCAATCCCTAATTATGTACTTACCTCAACATGCTAGGGTCGACTTGGTATATAGGATTGTGAAGTCACCCACTTAGTGCCCGTGACACATAAAGTATACTACAAGGGGAACTTCGATTGTGTTTAGAGTGAAGTCTGTCTTGCTCTATTCTAACCTAGAATGACATGGAAATAGAGAGATTGTTGGGTGCCGTTTGGGGAGCTTCCAGCTAGAGCTTAATAGCAGGCACGTATGGAGATACAGGAAGATTATAAGGTCACTACTTATAGTGAGTAGTGATTCCTCCATGAGAAGTTTTCATCAGAGCCTGCAACCAGGTGCTTATTGAATATTTTATATTTATTCTTGCTACTCTAAGGAGGCCCTCTCATTCCATTTTTATGTCATTTTTAATATTAATTTAATGTCTCTTTAAAATTTATTTTAAATATTTTGAACAAACCCGTCTAGCTCAGTTGGTAGAGCGCAAGGCTCTTAACTTTGTGGTCGTGGGTTCGAGCCCCACGGTGGGTGAGTTTATTTTATTTATTTGTTTTAAGATAGTCCTTCATTTTTAAGCAATTGTTTTAAGATAGTCCTTCATTTTTAAGCAACCAAGAGACTATCCTAACTCGAGTTCAAAGTGCTTTAAGTAACTCAGAGATTCCCTAAATTAAGATGATCCCTATGTAAGCTCTTTATTTTTAAAAAATCAAGAGACTGCCTTATGAAATACTCAAGTCTAAATTTTCCAAAACATAAAGTTTTTTAGGTACCAGATTGAAACAAGAACCAAAAGTCTCGAGAATAAGAAATAAGGACAAGGACAAAAACATGACAAAGAATAAACATGGTACTTTAACATACCTTAAGGATGCGATTAAGAGCCTGCAATTATTGAGTCTTTGTTCTCACTCCATGTTTCTTATGTTTTTTAGGTACAAGAAGTTAGTTAAGGACGAGAGTGGACTCTGTAGCAAGTGTCATAGACAAGTCTTACCGTAACCTCCAACTTCCTTTTTGTTTTAATGTTTTTGTGTATGTTCCTTATTTTATTTATTTATTTATTTTTTGTTTAATACTACTTATGTATGAACTCTATTTTGATATGATTTAAATGTAAGTGCATATTATATTTTAAATATTTCTTGTTTTGTTCTGCAGTTTTTTTTATCGTCTTTCTATATCTATCGAGTCAACTCCAGACGCAATTTGTGCTTCAAGCAAGTCTGATTCGAGTTTGTTACCAAATTCACAGTGAAGTCATTTTAAAGTGGAAAGTAAAAACATGCCTCCCTATGCCACGTGTCGCACCTGCAACTAGCGACTTCTTAGGCTCAATTGGCTTGACTTAGCTCGACGTGGCTTCTCGACTCAAAACGTAGCTTCTCAACTCAGTTTATGGAAATTTCACCCTTTTCCACCTTTTTGACCGCTCCGAAACTGATTTCAACCTTATCGTAGGTGATTAAGGTCATTAGAATGCTAAAGTTCTCAATTCAAGGTAAATTTGATTAGAAAATTAGGGTTATTAAGAGAATTGAGCAAATTTCCTAACGAAAACATCTCAGCAACACTTAGAATAAAATTCGAAGGACGAGCTCAAGCAATTATTTTAGGGAGAGCATCAGCCAAGGTCAACCAAGTAAGTGGCCTTACTATCGGTTCGGTTAGAAATTGTATCATGTATGATGACATGTGCCCCGTAGATTTGCACGTTTCATATGCTTGTTATATGTGAAAGGTTATGAAATGATATGTTTAGTATATGATTTGTGAATGATATGATACGCTTGATGACATGTTCGTGATATAATATGTGGATGATATAATATATGTTATGATATAATATGATTGACGATACTACGCATATTGCGACATGATTTATGATATGTTATGTTGGAAGACACGATATGTTTATGACATGACACATGTTTGACATGATGAGATATATGTTATGAATGATATGTGACATGACGTTTCGGCATGATGCACTACCCTGATATATGTATGGAAGGTTATGATAAGAATGATATGATATAAAGAAAAACATAAGGGGTTATTTTGCATGATAACGAATAAAAATGTTGGGACCTCATGCATCTGGGAATACCATCTTTTTATGATGGTATGAACACGTGCGTTACGAGGCATAATAACGATCATTATGTTTATCGTAATGCTGCGACAATCACTATTCCTACCGGGCGTCTGACAACAACTCTAGAGAATGCTATCCCAATCAAGAAAGGGGCCTAGGAGGTGTATGAATCGACTGGTGGATTCATACTCGCACGTATGAGCCATGTCTAGAATAGTAAATATACATCCAATTACACGCTTAGAATAGTTGTCCAAGGAAATATAGACTGAAATGATAAGTCTCTCTCATGATTGTATGTGCTTGCATCTAACCCCAATAGCGAGATCACTTAGAGTATTTCTTAAAATACTCAAGATATGTGTTATTCTTATTTTCCAGGTAAAGGCAAGGCTCCCATGTACGGTTGACATTGACATCGCAACTTAGGAGACCATAACACATGCATAAGGTAGTTTGCATTTAATTTCGTAAACTATAGGTTAGTATAAGTTACTATGCATTTAAATTTGTAGCGCATAGGTTAGTATAAGACATTTCTACTTTATTTTATTTTATAATAAAATTTTAAATGATTATTTCCGCATAAAATGATAATTATGTATACAGTAGCAACTTTAGATTGAGTAGAAATCTAGGGTTGTTACACCCACCGTCTTTGGTTACCGTTTTAAACGTAAAATTTTTTACCATATTTTAATGTCTTTAGCATCAGCCTAAAAATCGAGTTGTGATACCAATTTCACCAACAACCTTCGAGGCATAAGAAAATCTTTAAATTTTTGGAATATAATTATTTAATTTTTAATAATACTTTTGATTATTTTATATACCATTTAATATTATCATTGTATAAAAATTTAAGTTACTAATGTAATCTTAAACGACATGTAGTTGACATATGAGAGAATCATATTCAAATAGTAACTTATAGCGTGTATAGTATATGGATAAAATTAAGTGCAGTATCTGATAACACTATTTGATATGATATACACTTACTTGCACAATAGTATTTTTATTTTTCTTCATTTGATATCATTCAGTGTATCATTTATTTAAATTAACCGATATATAAACTATCAATTGTTAAAAAAATTAAGAAGAAAATAGCATAAGTACAATAAAACAAATTAAATTTCTAATTTGTTTAACTTTATCAACAAGCCCGTCCAGCTCAGTTGGTAGAGCGCAAGGCTCTTAACCTTGTGGTCGTGGGTTCAACCCCACGGTGGGCGATTTTGTTTTTCACTATTTAGATTTTACTTAATTATTCTTATTTTATTTTTTAAAAAATATTATGTTACAAAAAAAATTGGTTCTTAACAGCACCATTTTACTTATCAAAATTTATTTAAAATGTTAAAAATATGTCATATTTTTTAATTTATTTATGTTATTTTATATTTTTTAATTTTATAATTTACAACAAGCCCGTCTAGCTCAGTTGGTAGAGCGCAAGGCTCTTAACCTTGTGGTCGTGGGTTCAAGCCCCACGGTGGGCGATTTTGTTTTTCACTATTTAGATTTTACTTAATTATTCTTATTTTATTTTTTAAAAAATATTATGTTACAAAAAAAATTGGTTCTTAACAGCACCATTTTACTTATCAAAATTTATTTAAAATGTTAAAAATATGTCATATTTTTTAATTTATTTATGTTATTTTATATTTTTTAATTTTATAATTTACAACTAAAAATATGTCATATTTTTTAATTTATTTATGTTATTTTATATTTTTTAATTTTATAATTTACAACAAGCCCGTCTAGCTCAGTTGGTAGAGCGCAAGGCTCTTAACCTTGTGGTCGTGGGTTCGAGCCCCACGGTGGGCGATTTTGTTTTTCACTATTTAGATTTTACTTAATTATTCTTATTTTATTTTTTAAAAAATATTATGTTACAAAAAAAATTGGTTCTTAACAGCACCATTTTACTTATCAAAATTTATTTAAAATGTTAAAAATATGTCATATTTTTTAATTTATTTATGTTATTTTATATTTTTTAATTTTATAATTTACAACAAGCCCGTCTAGCTCAGTTGGTAGAGCGCAAGGCTCTTAACCTTGTGGTCGTGGGTTCGAACCCCACGGTGGGCGATTCCATTTTATTTGTTCAAGACTATTTTCTTTTTTTTTTCAAATTTCGATTTGGTATTTTTGTACATTTATTTCATTATTCTAAGTAGGGATACATTTAGGCAAAAAATAGAAAAACTTATTTTCTTTTCTTATTTTTGTTTTTAAAAAAATATTATTATTTATTATATGATTTAGTCCTCGAACACGTTTTTCAAGTGAAGTCAATTAAAATCCTAAACTACTAACTTTAGGAAGAAGATACATGATAACTACTACGCACGTACTAACAACAATATATGCCACATCATATAAATAGATTGAATCGACTTGACTTTCTAGAATTCTAGACCGACTTAGATTCGTTACCAAATACTTATAGACCCTATTTTAAACCTAAAAATTGAGAATATTCAAATTGCCAACTCCAGTTTTTAAGTCGTACCGCTCTCAATGCATTAAAAAAACAACCCATCCAAAAAAAAAAAAAAAAAAAAAAAAAAAAAAAAAAAAAAAAAAAAAAAAAAAAAAAAAAAAAAAAAAAAAAAAAAAAACCTCCTTAAAAAGAGTCTCCAAACAAAGAAAGAGTTTGGGATGATAGTTCTCAAGTATATAAATAAAATAACACTCCAAAAAAGAAAAAAAAATATTTCTAAAATGTTAACTAGAAGTAAATATATATTGAAGTGAAAAATATTGCAAAGTCGAAAGTCCTAAAAGTGGTTCAAAACGGATAAATTTCATGCACATAGATGAGTTTTTCATCTCCGCACATAGATGAATTTTTCATCTCCACAAAATTCTCCATTTATTTTATAGGAATTGAGGCGAGATAAAAATAATCATTTTTAATGAAATTTTCTTATTTTTACTATAATTTGTATTAAAAATATATAAAATATTCTAATAAATTCAAAAAAAAAAAAATTGATACAATAATAAAATCTAAATAAAGTACTAAAAACAATAAAGATAATTTCTCCCCTTTTTGATTCCAGATCCCTCATCAATATAGTACAATTGATATTAAAAATTTAATTAATGTTTACATATTCATTTATATATATATATATTTATCTGTATGTATGTATATATATGTATCTATATATATATATGTGTGTGTGTGTATTCAATTTTAAAGTGGAATACAATAATTATAAAAAATAAAATAAACCATAAATACTGCGTTCCACTTCATGAAACTTAATGACAGACATTTATTTTACTAATTCTTATTCGCACATCAATTAAATTCAGTCAATGCAAATGAAGCTTCGAAAGCATGTTTCCTCAATACGAGAAAGATGGAAGAATTTGCACTGCACATTACCAAATCTTTAAGATTCAACAGATTGGCAAATAAAAGGTAAGAATTTCTTGGTTGAAGATTGAGCAACATCAGTAAATGCTCATCAGTTTTCCTTTTTGTAGCATTGTTCTACAGAAGTATTATAATTCAGAAACTTCCGCAGCGCAACAAATTCAGGATTCCAGATTTCAGTTCACTTCTCAGATTCCACTATTTGTCCAAACTTCAATCTGAGACAGTAGGAACAAACTATTAGATTACTTTGAATCTCCCAGATGAAGATTTTTATAATTTTTACAACAGAAAACAAGAACAGGGAAGGGTGGTTGTTTATGTCCTTTAACTGGTTTAGCTTGGCTTATAAGGACGCAAGGACGCGGTTTTGGAACGTCTTTCTAAGTGCTTAAACAAGAGTTAATAACCTCGGTGATCATGGCTCCAAATGACAGTCTCGTGGCAAGCATAATAAGCAATGCATAATCATGAATCAAGGCAATTTCTGGAATATCTCTCTATGATTTGTAATTGAACTTTATTACCTTGGTATTCCTTGTAATGAGCAATCCATTTTTCTAAATCAATTGCGCTTTTTTCAGGTCAGATACAACCCCCCGGTCTTCGGTGCTTCTTTCATTGTATATCACCTGGTGAAAGTCAATGATATGCAATTTAAAACGAATCTCAATAACATATGATGAATTAGTAACCACTGTGCAGTTCAGGTACCTTATCTATGATACCATATTCAACTGCTTCGCTGGGACTAAAATATTTTGGCCGCCTAATATCAGCTTCGATCTCCTCAGGCGACTTTCCGATATGCTTCGCATAAAGCTTAACCTTCAATATCAATGTTAAAATGTAAAGAACTGTAAGTTCATTTACCTACACTTGTTTAGAGGGAACAATGTTGTTTAGAGGGAACAATGTAACTTCTCAACTTTCCAGAAACAACCCTATAACACAAATAGAAGTTGTTTTTCATTGGACGACTGTTTCTGTAACTCCACTCTCAACTTGGATTATATATCTAAAAAGGTCCGCTCTCTGCTATTCCACATGCTGCCTACCTGAGATGTGGTTATCTGAAGTGGATTCTCTCTTTTCTAGTGGATGCCAAACCTTCTGCCCCATAGACTAAGAAGGGGGCGTAACTCCACTTTCGACTTGGATTATATATCCAAAAAGGTTTGCTCTCGGCTATTCCACACGCTGCCTAGCGGATGCGTGGTTATCTAAAGTGGATTCTTTATTTTCTAGTGGAAGCCGAACTTACTGCCCCATTGACTAAGAAGGGGCAGGCGCTAACAGCTACATGGACCCCTTCCTTTATGTTGTTGCCAGTGCCTAGAACTAACTTTTTAGCCACTTCTTCATGCCTCTTTTGATAGGCATTTTTGTCACTAGCCCTTCTTTGTAATCTAAATAGGTGGACTTCCTGTAAATCCTAATTTGAGCTCGGAAGATGCCTCCAAGTCCTTCCCCTTTCTATAATCTTTGTCCTTATTTTGTACACGATTTTGGTTTCTTAACCAAAGAATAATAATAATAATAATAACGGCCAATTGAGAACCCGATTCTACAATAACAAATGCACATCCATACTGCACATTTCACGAGGACAAAAATAGAGTATGACAATGAAGAGAAGGAAATCCAGTATACAAGTTTGAGCCATGATCTTACCAGCTCTACCTTCACATTTCGTATTTCTTTTCTAGCAAGCTCAACGTCTGTTGCTTGACCCTGAAACCTTGCAATTGGCTGCAGATTGAAAGAGGGTAAAAAGGATTAGAACTGCACAGAAGTATATCAAAACATCAGCTTTAATGCAAAACACCTTTGTGAAGGTAGGAAATGAATAGAAGAATAAGGGGAGAAAACAAAACAAAGACATCAGTTTCTGATATAGAATACCTGCTTCATCATTATTGTCGATGAGGGCAATGCAGAACGGTTTCCCTTAGCACCAGCTGACAAAAGAAGTGATGCTTCTCCCCAAGCATTACCAACGCATAATGTGAATATAGGAGGCTTAATATACCTGCAGTGGAAAATAGTGATGGAGATTAAACATATTTCATTAGGTCCTCAAAAAGTCTTGAATGCGCAATAATGAGATTCTAAATAACCGTAAAGCAGACCAATTATATATAAAGATTCACATCACAACCTCATAACATCATATACTGCAAATGCTTCAGTCTCATAGCCCAATTTCTCACCACCCTGAAAAATACAAGCATTTCATTATGATCTACTATCACATGGAAAAGGAAACAAGGTTAATAATCATTTTCGTGCACGCAAGTTAAAGATGACAAACATTTTCTTTAATAAAAGGTAAGCTGCATTTTTTATAAGACCGTTGAAAACAGGAAGGGGAGGATGAAAGATCAAAGCACATCATTGTGCGTGTTGTTTTTTGTCAAGAAAAAAAAACTGAAGCACTGCTTTCCTATTAGAACAGCAACTGTAAATTGAATACAACTTTCCCTGCTCCTCATGTTGTCTCATCACTATAAACGACTAGCGCAAGTAATTAACTCAACACAAGCTTGTGCCAGTTGCTTCATCACGACCATTAAAAATGAAAAAAGAAAAAAGAAAAAAAACCAAGGTCATAAAATTCAAGCTAGAGAAAATGAGACATCCAAACAAAGCTAATCTGCATAAAATTTAAAGCATGGTTAACCTTTGTTGTTCCTGTGGAGTTAATGTAGAGATATATAGGCTTTTCTTCATCCTCATACTGAAGGTAAAGAAATTCAGCAAGTATCAACTCCGTGACAGAAGGGACAAGAGACATGCCCAAGTAAACAATTCGATTCTTGTATAAATAAGATGCCAAATCTGGAGGAGGTTGCTCCCATGCACTTCCCCTTGAAAATGGAATAACCTATTCAAAGAAATTAGGTAGATAAGACACAAGAAACAAGCAGGAATGGAGAATGGATCCGAACAGAACATTTTAGAGTTTAGGGGAGGCCATTAACAGTTAAGAATCATTGTTCATCGTTTAAATTTAGAACAGAGTCGGTTCTTTCAAGCCAACATATACATTGATAGGTAGTTGAAGTCGCAAAAGTTTTCCCAATTGAATCTATCTTCTAGACTCCAATATAATCTACTCACCTATTTGAAATTGAGAGCTTCGTTTATTAGTATTCAAGCACACCCATCTAAGTAAAACATCTTCAATCTCTGCCCTACTTTTCACAAAGCATCGCACAAATCCTCCAAAAGAGGACTCGTAAACTACAATTTAGTGAACCAAAGTAGTAAAATAACAAACAAGCAACAAAAGTTCAACCCAATATGCGCAATTTTCGCCAGAAGAGGACTCATAAACTACAATTGTGAACCAAAGTTATTAAAAGAACAACCAATGGCACCGGAAGAACAGTAATGTTCAGGCACTTACCATAGTAACAACGCCCCGCTTGCCCTTGGATCCACGGAAAGAATCCGGATTAAGAGAGGACGGCCGGAGCTTCAGGCCTGAAAAGTCCCCGGAAACACTCCCTCCGACGAATGGGATGAGAAAATTAGTAGAAAGTGGCTTGGTTCTGAGAGAGGAGGGCGAAAAGGACATGGTTCGGGTAGATTTTCGATGATGGGAAGAAGCAATTAACGGCGATATTCGCTTAGTAAGCGAGAAGGTGGAGGCAGTGGTGGCGACCTCCATGACTGGAAAACCTTGAGAAGCCGAGCGATAATGAGACTGACAGAAGAAGCCGAGGATAGAAGTTAATTGGAAGACGGAAGATTTGTGGGCTTTTGAAGCTTAGCTAAGGTGTTGGGCCGAGCCCAAATCATTTCATTCTAAATCAATTATTATAGGCCCAGCCCAAATCACTGTGCATCTCTCGTGTTTAAAAGTTTATAATTAATATTATTAATATCCATAATGTTCTAGTAAGGGAATTCTAAATTTATAATTAATTACAGCTCTAATCATTTTAAAAATAAAAAACATGAGCTGCCCGTGATCTTCTACTAAATTAACCAATCCTCCACACTTTATAGGTTAAATTACAACTTCAAGCTCAACAGACTCACAAGTCGAGTCAGGGCTCTATCCTCTTTCTTTCAGTGTGGGAACGATATTAGGAGAGAGAGGTGAATACGTTGAGGCAGTGAACAACAAGACTACAACTCAATAATGGTTTTTCTTCCCATGATAGAATAATTTATATGTTAACTTACAACTTCAGGCTCAACGGACTCACAAGTCGGGTCGGGGCTCTGCTCTCTTTCTTTCAGTCTGGAATGATATCAGGAGAGAGGTGAATATGTCGAGACAACGAACATGACTACAACTTAGTTTTGCCCTTTCCTAACTTACAGACTCAACAAACTCACAGATCCGATCCCGACTCTATGATCTTTTAAATTTGTGTCAAATAGACTAGGTCCGTTAATTTTATTTTATTTTTAAATATATATTAAAGAGTTATTAACCATAAAATTATATTTAAAATTTAAAAATCTACTTTTTAACCTTAAAATAATTAATTTATTTCTATTAGAATTTAAACAAAATTAAAATATTAGGAGAGTGACAAGTGATGAGTAATATATAAAGGGAGTGACAAGTGCAGAGTTTCGTCTTCCATAACAACTCCAAGGTTGAGGAGAGGCGCACTGTACTCTGTTCTGCGTCACAATGTCTTCTTCCATGGCTTTGTTTTCTCCTCCTTTCCATCTTTCCACTCTCTCTTCTTCATTATGCCACAGAAATTCCTTCTCCTCCATACCTTTTTCTTCTCTCAGAACCAGAAGAAGCCCTTCTTCTTCCTCTCTTTTCACCATCAGAGCCGCTGCGGAACCGGAGCCGGCTAAGTCCGTAACGGAAGAGCAGGAGAGCCTCCCCGGAACAAATGGCGCGATGGCGGCTGCTGAAGAAGTGGAGGTCGTTACCAAATTTGAAGACGCTAAGTGGATTAATGGAACTTGGGATCTGAATCAGTTCCGGAAACACGGAAGTATCGACTGGGATTCTGTTATTGATTCCGGTAATCTCAATCTTCTTTGGATCTGAGAAAATGAGAAATTAAGCAACTCTTCCTTAAGAACCTAGATTCTCTGTTGATTTTGATTTCAATTGAATAACTGAAATTAGGTTCAAATTGTGGTGTAATCTCTTGATTTTGGAATTGAGTTTTTCGATCAGAGGCTAGGAGGAGAAAATGGGTGGAAAAAAATCGAGAATCATCAAGTAATGAGGATCCCGTGGTGTTTGGGACATCCATAATTCCATGGTGGGCTTGGATTAAGCGCTACCATCTCCCTGAAGCTGAGACACTCAATGGTATAAACACACGTTTAATACATACGTTGTTCTTTGTTGATAGCGATTTGAACATGAATATGAATATGGTATCATGATGTGATGGGTTTTGGGCGCAGGGCGTGCAGCGATGGTGGGGTTCTTCATGGCTTACTTTGTTGATAGCTTGAGTGGGGTAGGGGTAGTGGGTCAAATGGGCAACTTCTTCTGCAAAACTCTGCTGTTTGTGGCTGTGGTGGGAGTTGTTTTGATCAGAGAGAATGAAGATATTGAGACTTTGAAGAAGTTGATTGATGAGACAAGCTTGTATGACAAGCAATGGCGAGCAACTTGGGAGGATTAAGCTGAAGAAGTTGATTATCTATATCTATAATTTCGCTTTAGATTCCTTTGTTTGTAGCTCGAAATCGAACACTTTTCTTATAGCCCAAGAAAACCCAAGTTTTTAGTCCAATTTCCATTTCCAAACAACAAAACAAACCAAATGGGGACACACAAAAGGGTTTTGCTTAGCTTTTTGGTAATGATTCACACTTGTTATTTCTAAGAAGTTGTTCACAAAACTTTCTATTTTGTATTTTTTTTTTTTTTTGTCGAAGTTCTTTATTATGGTAAATAAATAACTAGGATATGACGTGTATAATTCACTTAACAAGCATCCGGTACATGTCCATAAATAACTAGGAAGGTGTATTAAAGGATTTGATTTGCATTTGATAAATTGATGCGAGTTGAGGGTCTCATCGTCTTGTCCCGGTGGATTGAAACTCAGAAAGCCGAAAGTTTGCCTACAATCTTCTTTGACAAACACTAGCTACTGTTTCATATGCAAAAAGGTCATTCAAGCTTATTTATTTATTTGTTGTTTTTTATTTGTGCTTCGAAAGACATGATCCGGATGAAATTTGAGAATTTGAATTTGGATAATGTTTGAAACTTAGAGATGAAAATTATCTTCTAGATTCTCAACTTCAAAGGCTAAAATTGATGATGTAGTACATCAATTTTCAACTCATAATGTCTTGAAACGATTTATAAGTGCTTTTAAAGAAAAAGAAAATAAAATACCGAAAGAAAAGTATAATCAATGTTGTTTTTTCGACTAGAATCACTCATTTTGAAATTACATGTAATGATGTTAGAAAAGATGTATAATGTGTTTTTGAAATTATTATTATTATTATTATAAATCAGTAAATAAGAAGAAAAAAATAAAATAAAAACAAAAAAGAAGAAGACGACAAGCTACCATGGAGAAGGGATGGAGAACGGAGGAATGGACAGGAGGATTGAAGGGGGAAAAGAAAGGATGGAGGTGTGTGTGGGAGAAATTGTGTTGAAATATCCTATTACGCGTACACCCAAGGGAAAAGGAGTTCGAAACTAGGTAAGTAGCATATCGAGAATCTTAAACTGAGTTCTTAACTTGTTTTGCAACATATAATCATATTTTTTTACCTTTTAAAAGCTTAAAAATAACAATATGTGCTTCCATGTTATCAAATGCCTATTTGTATATTGACTGCTTGTCCGAGGTAAGTATTGGATCAGTATGACAATAATAATTTTAAAATTAAATAGTAAGAGTTAGAAAATATGTCATTGTAGTTTTATAATGGTTCGGTCAAACTCGACCTACTCCACTCCACAAGCGCCTCTTGAGAATTTAAATAAAAAACTTTCTCGACTCTTTTCACGGATTAGAGCCCAACCACTCCACCACTCTTTTTACGAGTCCAAGAGCAAACTCGATATTTTCCACGACGCAGGATCAAATTGATACAAGTATTTGAATTTAGAATTTAGAATACTCACAATTATTTTCTTACAATAAAATAAAAAAATCTCATAAATAAAAATAAAATTGGAAGTTTGAAGAAAGCAACGGGGAGGCTTTAGAAAATTGAAAGACGGAAGAATTATGGAAGTTGTGTTATTGAAAATAGGGAGAAGTTGATGAGTTTAAATAGAGAACGAACAGTGGAAAAAAAAAATAAAAATAAAAAATAATATTGACGGTTAAAAGAGGAATGGAAGGTGGAAATTAAAAAGTAAATAATAACAAAATTTTCTCAATTTATTTTTATTATATATTTTTAAATATAAATAATAATAATAATATAATATAAAATAATAAAAATAGATGTGAATAACCGTCAAATGACAAATTCAAAATTTATTATAAATATAATAATATAATAATAATAAAAATGACGTGAGTAACCACTCAAATTTTAAAATATAATAATATAATAATATAATATAGTAATAATAAAAATCGATGTAAATAACGGTTAGATTTAAATTTATATTATATATAAATAATTTTATTTAGAAATATAATAATAAGAAAAACTCCACACTTTGTCACTATTCCAAAATGATAAGTGTCATCGTATTATTTGATTTGTCCTCATTTTGATTTAGCTGCCACATCATCATGTCGAATATGTTATATCGATTGTAATTTCTTCGTTTTGGCTATGATTTGAGTGATTGAAAAGTCGTTGAAGTCCTTATTCCTAACATACTCTGGACCGTTTAAAATACTGAAAATAGTTAATAATTAAAAGTAGGTGTGTTATCATCCGAACATCAATCAATTAATTATTTAAAATTAATTAATATGAGATTAAGGGCCAAAAAACTAATAGTAAGCATGTTATAAATGATTACTAGAATGTTCTATATGTTGAACATTATAAATGTATGAAAGCATGCATTATAGATGTGAGTATGTTGTGCATGTTAATGGAAAGGTTATAACTCTAGGATATGCTTATAAATTGCTGAGTCATGAGTTATGTATATGAGTATTGTAGTCTACTAATTCCCACAGAGTTCTTGACCAACGCGCTGTGTGCTAAGTCGGGAAAAATGAATACTCCTGACTATTAGTATATGCTAAATCAGGAAGAATGAGTACTCCTAACTATTGGTATACAAGTCACCAAAAAAATTAGTAGACGGGCCGTATTTGACTAAGAGTGAATCTTACAAACGAGTCCGAAAACTTTAGATAAGCGTATAGAGAGCCAATAACCTAAGCTGGAGGTAGCTGAAATACCTCATTAATAAATAGACGACCCTATTAAGAGAAACTAGAAGTTAATGGCGAATAAAACTTAAAAACAGCCGGAAAGATAAGTGATAAAGACTAGGAAAGATAAGTGATGCATGCCAATTGAGGACGAGACCAGCAGGCTAACGGAATCCATGTCTGGGTTTGTTTGTGTATTTATGCTTTCGCTGTTTAAAATTTACATGGGTTGTTGTTTTAAGTTTCAATAGTACTGGTTTTAAATATTTTACTTAATGTATATGGAAATATTTTGAAATTTATGATTGATTGTCGGCTCCTTCCTGATTTGATTGTATTGGTTTAGTTGCAGCTTTTCCTATTAATTTGTCAAATCAGGGAATACAGGGTCAGGGCAGAGAGAGGCAGGTTCAGTAGTTAAGGTAAGGAGAAATCATCGGAAGCACAAAGGGTCTAGTAGGGGATAAGCAGCTAGATAAGTAAGCAATATCAGTTTGTTATTGATATCAGTGGTAACTCCTCTTAATTGCATTATCAATAAGCAGGTGTTATAGTACGCTCCAACACTAGCTTTGAATTTCGTCACTTCTTCCGTCCTTTACATCTTTTGTGGAGAGATATCTTGTCACAATCGTAATTTTCTTGGCAATTTATCGTGTGGCTGTACCTACGAACAGGCAAGACTCAAGTTTTTGACCCTATTTTGAAAATAAGGTTTTAAAATACAGTGGCAGAGAAATTTTCTAAAACGAGTTTGAAAGTACGAACGAAAGATGATTTGAAAGTAACGTTATATAACTATAAGCAAAATACAACAACACGACTTAAATAACATACAACTTTTTGAGTAGGAAGAATTTGACAACTAGTCACATCCCCCTAACTTTTTCATTCAATTCAGTCATTCAATCTTTCGGGAATGGGAAACAATATTTCTTCCTCTATCAAGATCAATTGGTTGGCTTCTTGATTTAGGTGTTGATTTTTTCGTCAACCAGTCTCAATGCATGAAGAAACTAACGAACGATTAAGAAAAGCAAATTGAAGTTGAAGAATGCAAGATAATATTACAATTTACCATCTTATGTACATCACCTTGTATGTATCACCCCAAAATATTGTATATTATCACTTTGTACACACTAAGTGATACTTACAAAGTGATAGGTGATACATACAAGGTGATATATATACAATTTTGTGACGAAGAGATCATTGATTATAAGAAAGCATCTACTAAATACACGATCATACGATCACAGTTTGTAGTCCTATTAAACACAAAATCCAATTTTACGACTAATAAAATAAGTAATGTTTAAGATTTTTTAGTACTTCAAACACCTATCGGACACTTTCAAAGCTCTAGAATACTTCATAATCCCATCTCCGTCAAGCTCAAACTCTCTACCTGTCAACTTGTCAACTGAAATGGTGAATTCTCTCTTATCTCTATTACTCTGCAACTCAAGGTTTGTGTCCTGACATGTGGTGTGGTGATGTTTGTGAATTTTAGGCAAAGGTCTCAAGAGAGAACAAAGTGTTGGTGAGTGTGTATACAGAGAGGCAGGAACCAAGAGTAGCAGTAAATCGATTCCAACGTGATGATGGTGTGAACAAAACAGTGAGGAATCAGTGGAAGAAAGAAATAGCTAATAAAGGATACAATAGGAGAACTGAACTTCTTAAGTACTCTCAACGCCTGCGAAAATCTGCACAATCACCTGCATCTCCATATCTTCCAACTCCGGAGCCGATTTCTGTGACGAACAAGCAACCGATCCAAAGAAACGTGGCGATTAATCCTGTATGTATGCTCTTCCTTATTTTTAGAACTCAAGAATTCCCGTTCAAGCAACCTAGTGGCATATTGTAGGAACAACGATCCTCCACAGTGACATGATACTGCCCACTTTGAGTATAAGCTCTCGGGGGTTTTACTTTTGGTTTTTTCAAAAGATCTCAAACCAATGAAGATAATATCCCTTACTTATATACCATGATATTTCCCTTTATTAGCTAATGCGAGACTCAAACAATCTTAACTAATCCCCCCACGAACAAAGTACACCATTGAGCCTCACCTAACGACTCCTTTTCTTTGGAGCCCTTGAACAAAGTACAACATTGAGTCTCCCCTTAAACAGTTATCTATCTATCCAACACACTATTCTAGACGACTTCTCTTCACTAGAGCACATTGTTAGTCCAATAAAACTCTACCATGAATCTTCACCATGACTGCACTTTCGAGACTCGCAACTTCTTTGTTTGACACCTGAGTCACTGTGACTACACCTACAAGATTCAGAGCTTGTTTGTTCAACATTTGAGGATTCTAGTGACATAACTAAGTTAGGGTATAGCTCTAATACCACTTATAGGAACATCTACCCTTCACAATGACATAATAGAGAATCTATACAAATAGAGAGAGTGTCCCTTAATTATATACCCATGATCTTCCCCTTAATTAGCCAATGCGAGACTCCAACAATCCCAACAATCCTCAACACACACAACAATAATCTAACCCACCTAGTGAGAAAGTATGATAATCAATTTAGTTTTCTTCAACAATAATGTTACCCAACTGTACACCAAATTCATCTGAACAACTCAAATTTGAATAGACATATTGCAGTAATATTTGTTCAAGTGGTCAAGTTTTGGATGTGTAAGTATCTCCATGGTCATTCGACCATAATTTTAAGTCAGAAACATGACAACTTGAAATAGTTACCAGTGTTGTAATACTGTAGATGAGGAGATGATATCAAACCCAATCATTTCTCCTGTATATAACTTGTTTTGGAAGGATATAGCCTGGTATCTATACCATGTTTGTGACGAAGAATTAAAGTTTTCCTTTTTTGATAGCTCGTCAATCTTCGTGCAAAGCCCAAGGGTGCCAGATTTACCTCTTGCTTCGGCAACCTGATTCAAAGGTCTCACAAGGCTTTGACGAGTTTTCAGGCAAAAAACAAGAGACAAAAGCAGAACCAAAGCAGCGGATCTACCAAGAATGCTAAGATAATAAAAGAATTAGAAGGATAAGACTATTGAAATTTACATGCACTTAGTGTATGCCTTGGAATAATCCACTATTCGCTATTTTATAAGAACCATAAACATAAACACAAACTCTATCATCATTCTTAAAAACTACTAGTTCTCCTACAAAATTGTACAGGTGAACATGTAATTTGACAACAAAACAATGACTCTTTTATATAAATGATGACTCATTTGTTTAAACCTTAATGTTTGAAACTTCCCGGCATAGGCAATTGATAATACAATACCATGAGAAAGATGATGATGAATCAGTGGTGTCTTTGTTGTCGAGTATACTCCCAGAGTGCAATGGCACCGCTAACATGAACATTTAGAGATCTGACAACTCCTAATTGAGGAATCTCAACACATGCATCAAGTATATGGATTATGTCAACGGGTATACCTTCCTTTTCACGTCCAAGGACCAATACCTACCAGGGTGATTGAGGAATTATAAGCGTAACTATTAAAGAATAAAGCATTCATAGCAGCATTATAAATATGCATCACTTGTCCTAGTTCATTGCAGCATTATAAATATGTACCTAGTGTCTTCAACTTCACAAAAATGAAATAAACAATTTGTTCGAAGTTCTAGATTTTATGATTTATATTAGTTGTCAATCTTTTTAGTCTTCATTGGCTGTTTTTTTCTTTCCTTATGTTGTAGTGATCTTCCTCCTATAATAACATCTGGGTTGCACATATTTACATAAATATCACTATTCTCTATCAAATTCAAGATGGTATCAGAGCATAGGTAAATCCTAGTCGTTTCTATAACAAAACTATTGAGGTTGACAAACATTTTATTAAAGAAAAGATTGATGTTGATGCAATATGTATTCCTTATCTTCCAACAACCGAGCAAACTACTGATGTACTAAGGAGCTTCCAAAGAAGCAATTCAATAAATTGATTGACAAAGTTGGTTATGGAACCCATCTTTAAACCAGGTTGAGGGGGAGTGTTCGAATTTCTAATCTTATAATTGTGTAAATATTAGTTATCTATATTTAGTCTGTATTCTTTCTTTATGGCGTAGTTGTCTATCTCCTATATAAGAAGACCTAGGTTGCACATAATTGAATACATCACCATTATTCTATCAAATTCAAGACAATTAGTTTTTTCATCTTCAGAAACATGATGCATATCCAATTGTGAGATCCCACATCGATTGTGGAGGAGAACGGAGTATCCTTTATAAAGGTGTGGAAACCTCTCCCTAACAGACGCGTTTTAAAAACTTTAAGGGGAAGCCCAAAAGGGAAAGCTTAGATAGGATAATATCTGTTAGTGATGGGCTTAGACTGTTACAAATGGTATCAGAGCCAGACAACGGGCGATGTGCCAGCAAGAAGGCTGAGCCCCGAAGGGGGTGACACGAGGTAGTGTACTAGCAAGGACACTAGGCTCCAAAGGAGAGTGGATTGGGGGGGGAGGTCCCACATCGATTGGAGAAGGGAACGAATGCTAGCAAGGACGTTGAGCCCCGAAGGGGGATGGATTGTGAGATCCCACATCAGTTGGGGAGGAGAACGAAGCATCTTTTAAAGGTGTGGAAACCTCTTCCTAGTAGACGCGTTTTAAAAACCTTGAGGGGAAGCCTAAAAGGAAAAGCCCGAAGAGGACAATATCTACTAGCGGTGGGCTTAAGCTGTTACATCCATCCTCTTCTTCATATTCTTCATATTGTATTTAGCATGTGAACTTTTTACTGAAAGAACATTCAAATATGTAAAACCATCGGCTTTAATTAAATAAGATATAGTTGAATATATATCCTTGCTATGTCCATGTTCTAATTTTCTAAATAAATACACTTCAGGAACACGTTCATACTTAACTGGGATTTGGGAATTGATAAAGATTATTATAGGAAATTTTTTTTTATATAATTCTTTATCCTTTTTCTCGCTCAATTTTATCCAAGACGATAATTTTGAAAGAGTCCTAGTTCTACCTTAATTGATCTCAAACACATGCTAAATAAATCGAACCAGCCACGCAGAATGGTGGTTTCTCACTCTTTCTTGATTCTTTTTTTTTTTTTTCCGACCCAATCACTTTTCAACTGAAAAATCAGGGAAAAAAATAATAAGAACTCGGGAAGAATTTTCTCTTACTGTCTTTTTGGGAAATTCAAATTGGTCAAGAGGAACACTGTTAGCTGTTTGTTCCAAACCCAAAATGGAGAAGCCTTCCCGTTTCTTTTTCTCCAGGAAAAGTTTCATGCTGTTCACTGGCACTTCAACAATCGGGACCCACTTCTCTGCTGTAACACTGAAAGAGACAAAACAGAAATATAAATTTCTAACACATTTAAAATAAATGTTTTCTTACAAAAATCTAAAGTTTCTTTGGATTTTAAGAGT